ATGGGCTTTGGGAACAGTTCCACCAGGTGAAACTCAAATCACTAACATTTAATCTGCATAAATATGTAACCACAGATCCTGAATCCCAGGTATTACGCATTGGTCTAAATATAGCGAGTTGTAATTATTGATTCCAGTCCAAGGAGAGCCTGGGAATGGATCAGATTTCCACTTAGAGAATCAATCTTGTCTGTGAGCGTATGTGAACACTGACATTTTTGGCCTTATGCAGTTTAGGATTTGCTATAAAGTAATTTTAAAAGCTATGGAAAACCAATAATGGTAAGCAATTTAGCTCTTAAGTGTAAAACCACTGATAAAGCTGAGATAACTGTAAGCTCTAGGGGAAAAAGAAAAAAAAAAGAAGAGGTTATGGATGTAAACAGTCTCTTTTGTCTTTGCTGTAAGATTATTACTTCAGATGTTGAAAAACTGAACAAATTCGTGTGTGTGTGTGTTCAAATCACTTGAGATTTTATTGCTTTTGTTTGTCCTTAGAAGTTTTTAGTCTCTTTTCTTATTTTTTTTTTTAAAGGTGCTGTCCCTAGTCAAGTTATAAGGCAACATATTTTATTGATTCAGAACTCTAATACATAGTATGGCCACTGTTATCACCGCAGCTTCGCAGCTACCGTGAGTTGGACAACAGTCAAAGTGCATGACAATGCACAACAGAGCCAGTCTCCTGACCTTACAATATACAGGACACTTTGGTTCTTGGGATGAGAGATTGTAAATGTAGCTTAGATGCTGCCTCACACACTTTGCATAATAAAACATTTATATGCTGTCATGAAGAGGGTGTCACACTGCAGACTGGCTGTTCTCAGCTTCTCCGTTTGGGCAGGTGTGAGAGACAAGTTGTAGATATGCCACCAGTGAAAGCATATAAATGTACCTGGTGCAAACGTTTTACAAGAGTATTTATAAATGATTCAACAAGGGAGAGCAAGAATGAGAGTGAGAGCTAAAGTGCAATTTTAAAATAATATAAATAATTGAAACGTAGAAATAAGATACTAATTAGTTGTAACTGGTTTTGTTTTATAGGCACAGTTTAGTTTTTATGTCTACAGATCAATCTTTTCTCTTCTTCCCCCTCCAGTAATTTTCTCTGATGTATAATGGAGCTTCAATGGTCTAAATCTAAGGACACTGTTTAGTAAGAGGACAGAAGAGGCAATGATAAGGCAGTATAGTGCAACTCACTATGTGATATTAGAAAAGAAACAAGGATGGGGTTAGATCTTCCACGGTGATGTATAAAATCAGCCTTAATAAAAACAAAAGAAAGGAGGAAAAAAAATAGACAAGCTTTCCAGTTATGTGTTGACCCATGCTTTCTATAATGAGAGAGCACGTTTTCCAATACAAAGGAAACAACTGAAGGTTTATAATTTGTTTTGTTGTTACTAAAAATAAAAAAATAAAAAAAAAGCAGATGCTGCTTTAAGGAAAACATTTAATTCTAGGAATTTCTGTACAACTGACCTCAGCAGGCTTTTCCATCTTAGATGGATGACTTCTGCTTGAGACCCTGAAAGATTAAGATGCACACACACCTAGTTTATTGCAAAACTAATATTGTAACTTAAAAAACCAAACAGATTCTGTACAAGAATACTGTTCAAATGGAATGTGTTAAAATAACATTTATTAATAAATACTTTATAAAATTCTATGTGAATACTAAATTAATAGATTCCTGTTTTAAAATTGCTTTGGTCCTCATGAGTTTTCATAAATTCACTCTATACGCTTTTTTCTTAAAAAAGGTATTAGCTGCTAAAAAGCACATTTTGCCTAAATTAAAAGGCTACTTTTCAACACTAAATATTGTTGCTTAAAAAAATATGAATCCTCAAAAGTTGGGCATTTAACAACAGTTATAGCTGGCTTGTTAGTTAACAGGACAGAGTCAGTTAACACACTAAATCCACACGCACTGAGGCACTGAACCATTGACTTTCCACTATTCAGAAGGTGGGCAGCAGACATTTAGCTTCATAGCAGGAATTAACTCCCAACAGCGTGAAATTCTCCATAAATCATCATCATCATCGTGGTCCTTATAAAACACACCATGATAGCACACAAACTACTTGTCTCCCACAGGCAGCATTACGAATATGGCTTGCATATATTCAGGGAAGGTGAGGGGGGCAAGGATGAAGGAACTGCATCACAACATCGTTTCTTTCTGATTGGAGTATTGCAGTTGTCCGTGGCTGAGATTTCCAACATGCTTCCAATGTTGTGCGATGAGAGATGCTGTCCACAGAAATACCTCCTCCTGAGCAAGGTGCCGGATGGTGCTTGCTGCCCTGCTAGTGCCCAGGAAAGCAGGTGAGGGAAGCGGTCTGAGTCATCCGCTGGCAGTGGGATGGGGCACAAAGCCTGGCGAGCCCAGCAACAGGTTGGATTGGTGGGGCAGGAGGACAGCTGAGCAGTCTCCAGTAGTAGCTCGTGGAAAAGCAGGATTTCTCCTTGATGGAAAGAGACTGGGAAGTGCATTTAGAGTGACATGCTTAGGAAGAGGCCACTGCCACCAACCATGCAGCAGAGGGACATCCTGGGGACAGAGGGGCAGGGCCTTCACCCACAGCCCTTGCTCAGGCAGCCTCCAGTGCCTAGTTGGACCTGCAGCTTGAGGAAAGGCTGCAGGATCATTCCCCTGGAAAACAAGAGCATTTTAAAGTGGAAGCGAATTTGGTAAGTAATATAAGGTGCCTGGTACAGTTGGTCCTTTTACTGATGATATAGCCAATATAAATACGCTGCGTGTTGTCTTGGCCTGTGAACCTGCGACAGAGTTACAAGAAGCAATAGCAAATAGCTTTTCATCCTTTACTTATTTCCACATCACTAGCAAGGATTATACCTAAAGGCCAATAGTATAGAGAGAAGACATTTCATTGTGATTACACATTTAGGCCAACATGTGTGGTTGGCTTGCCTAGTTAGCATTAAAAAAAGAAATAATTGAGCTATATATAATACACATCAGTCAAACTCTCAAGTAGCTGAATTTAACAAAACTTAGGCAAGGTTTTTGTATTTTTTCTTTTTTTTTTTCTTTTTTTTCTTCTTTTTAATGTAGAGGCTTTCAGTTTAACAGCTAAATATTTTAATTGAGGAGACTGAATAAAATGAAGCTAAACCGTAATTCTAGTGCAGTGTAGCTCAACTGGGTATTCTAATATTACCAACAACTTTGATTTTTATTTTTTAATGTATTTAAGTGCTACCCATATAGAGGGAAAGTTTTTAAATTAACCCTGCGATGACATTTTCTTTTTCATCATGAATGGTGAAATTCAGACACAGGGGAAATGCTTATTTGGTTTTTTTTTACATAGTGGATACTCAGCTGGAACATTTTGCTTGACTGCATATTTGAAAAAAGTTCCCTTGGGAGCCGTGATGAAGCAAAACCATTTAGATATTACAACTGGAGGTTAAAAAAAAAAATTACAGATTCAGTATTTAAAACACTTTAAAAGTATTTGTTTGTCTAAAATATAATAGAAAATCCTTTACATTTGTATTTTTTCATAATTTTTTGGTTCTTAGACTATATAATCAAGTCAAGATTTACACTGTACATAAAAAATCTTCTTTTGAATGTATTTGCATAAATGGACAGTGAGCTGTTAAGGAAAAGAATACTGATAAAAAGTTAGTTAGCAAGAGAAGAACTAATTCAGAAATGAAAGATCCTCAGAATTTTGTGTTCCCTTCCAGGCTGGCCCAGGTCGTTACAGTGCCTCACGCTTCAGTTGTTTCACTCTTCCTCCTGCACAGAGAAGAGCCACCCTTCTCAAACCCAAGACTCCTCTAAAAACCAAAACCACAGTCTTAGATGAGAAGAACTTTGCTTTGGAACAAAGCACGTTCAGGGCTAGAGGATTTTCTGGAAATACTGTGAATTAGCTTTTGCTATTAAAGATGCAGCTCAAAATGTTTGAATGTTTATCACCAGCTCAGAGCCTGTTCCCTGGGTAAGCAGTGGGAGGTTTTGCCGTTGAGAGATTTGAGAGCTAAGTCAGGTCCCAGTATAAAGCAAGGCAGAGTAATTAACTGGCATCATCTCTGTCTGATTTTCCCATCAATCACTGGTACCACTCGGGGATGCAAATCAGTCTCACTGAGGGGCAGGCACAGAGTCCAAACAAAAACCTTAATTGTGGCATAAGGCTCTTTTCCAGGCCCTCTTTGCAGGACTGAATTTTATCCAGAGTGCAGTGGGATTTGCCATTCTTGCAGTGCTTTTTAGCGGCTGCATGCCTTCTAAAAATTATTTAGTGTCCTAATGAGACAATTCCTTACCCACAGTAAACGGGTGTTAAGTGCCATTAATGTCAGTGAAGCTACACTGCTGTCTGCCAGGTTGGGGTCAGTCCATGGATGCTTAAACGAATGCCTGAAGAGAGCAGGTCTTTTCCTGGGAATTAAAACTGGCATTTTTCCGGCTGGTCAGAACTGTTAGGCTGATTTATTTCTCATTTATAGCCTGTGAAACCTGAGGCTGTTAGCGTTCGTTGCTAGAACAATGCAACTGGGTTAGGGAACAGAACTTTTCTGAATCATTATATATTACACGGATTTTTCTATGTTAATGACTAGCAGTGCAAAAGAATTGCTCTGATTCTCAGGTGTTGCTCGCTATGTCTGTACCTCACTGCAGAAGCTCACAGGGCTGCTAGCATCAACACAGCTGGCTCTCAATCCTGCTTCACCTGGGGCTGCACCACTTTTGCCTTTCACTGTTTATTAAAAACACTAAATCAGGAGCATTTCTTTTTTTTTTAAAGCCAAATGATCAACACAGCCCAGCTGTGGGTGAAGAGCTAGTGAAAGCAGCAGCCGCACCGACAGTTTTTAGCTGGGCTTGAAGTTTTTGCTTATTCATCACCATTCTTTGAGAAAAAGAGAGGGAAGCAAGAAAACCTTGGAATGAAAAAAAGCAGGGGATAAAAAGAGAAAAAGCTGGTGGATGAAAAAGTTTTGGGAAGGGAAAGGAAGGTGTGAGAATAACTGGAGGAGAAAAAGGCCAGGATAGGGGCGAGAAGAGAAGGGGGAGGTCTAGACAAAAGAATTCGTTATTTGGGCTTGATTTTGTCCTGATAGCCACATCCTATATAACTGCTTTGAAAGAGGCTCTGAATGCAAGATGGGGTCTGCTGATAGCACAACGCTAACTCTTTTTTATTATGCTGTCAGCAGATGCCCTCTCTCTGTATTTATAGCCTAATTACTCCTAGTTACCTACATATGACTCTGTTTAATACTTTTCATGCCTCACGTTGGCTAACAAGCTGCAGTTTAACACAACTCTGTGTTTCTGAGGCTTCAGGCTTGATTGGTGAGAAGGAAACATGACTATGTACAGAAACAGTTAGGTTTATAAACAAGTAACTGGTACCAAAAAAACTGGAGAAAGCACCAAAGCATTTCTCAAGCTGATAGCATATTAATTGCATAACTCCCTTTCATGTAACTAAGTATAAAAGACATTTTAATAACTATAAAAATGAAAGCCAGAGTCTTTCAAGATCTGAGGAATCTTCCAGGCTTGAGTTACGGTTGCAAACATCCTTAGCACAGAGGACACTTTGATACGCTACCACACTCCCCTAGCAGTTTCTGATCAACCACTTTTAAAGGATGGGGTTGATGTCTGTTCTGTGGCTGGCGAGCTGGGTGAGAGTGGAGCTTCCCACGACGTCGCTGACAGAGGAGGAGGTTGTGATGGTGTTGTGTTGGATGACTTGCTGCTGGGAGCAAGCTGGGACCGGGCTTGCGGGAGGACTGCTCTCGGGACCTGGGAAGGGGGTGAGGGCAGAGACAACACACGTTCATATTTCCATCCAAGTAACAAGCCCAGGCTGGGTGACACTCCTGGAAAAGGGATGTACTACGGCAGCGCTACTAACAACCTGAGGCATGCACAAGTCCCAGTATTTCAAAATACACAGTTATCCAACACTCTCCATCTTCTGATCTTTTGCAGCTTTTGTTATTTTTTTCTTTTTAAGACAGTTTCTCTGATATCAACCTGCCTTCAGGAGTTGGGACCTTGAAGTAAGTCCAAGACATTAATGACTATGAAACCAATGTCGGGATAAAAAGTCTGGTATTTTAAAGTCTATAAAACCAGTTGGGATGCTTCAATGTTTTATTCGCTCCAGCAGGGATCAAAATTAGAGGGCAGTGCACTGCAGCACAGAAAATCTAATTCAAGCAACAGCTAATAGACATGTAATGCAATTATGTATTTTTTTCTTTGAGTAATGTTAAAGAGCCAGATGCATAGTAATGCAGAGGAGACAGAAATGGGCTCTATTTTAAGGGAACACCACTGTCTAGCAGATATTAACCCTGAGGCACTTTTGAGCTACTCTAGAGCCGAGCAAAGAACTTGTCCCTAAATTGCCACACTCGTAAAATTCATCGATTAGACAGAATCGATTCAATGTCTCCATTAGATGATAACTTTTTGGAAAAAATAAAGATAAGAGTTAAGAAAGAGTTAACAAACCTTGAAAACCTGCGCCACGCCTGGTCTGTGCCACTGTCAAAGCACAGAACCATTTTCGCTGGAGGGGACTGTAATATTTTCCTTTATAACTTTCCTTTTGAGAGTTATTTTAAGGTTCTGACAGCGCTGTGCCCAGGAGGACTCTTGCAGGTTTGGAGCTGTGAGTTCAAGCAGGATCCTCCACAGGGGAGCAAGCATCCATCCATGTGCATCTCCTTGCCGAAGGGAGGGGTGGGGAAGGCTAGCTCTGCTGTGTGGGATGCAAACCAGGGCTTTTTTGGTTTAGCGCGGGGCTGGATAAGTAAGGGTAGGAGATTGGACGGCTCGGATGATGTTTGAGAAGACAGGTTCAAGTGATAATATGACCGACAAAGGGGTTCTGGAGGGAAGAATTGGAAACTTTGCTTTCCTGTGAGGAGTGTGGAGACAGTGCAAACATACCAGCTACTTACTTAGATATCCTTGCGATTCTTTCTGCATAGCTGTTATTGGACAGTCTTTATGTGTTAACAATAACTGTTTCAGCTGTGCTACCTCATTTTTCAGCATTGAAACCTCGTTCTAGAAAAGAAAGAGAGGGTTTGGTTTGCCACAAAGCTTAAAACAGGCTCTTCTGCAAAGTTTTAAACCAAGAACACAGAAACTGCACGATGACTTCAGAAGAACTGAGCAAAACTGGCACTTGGTGTTCGTGTGCTAGGTTTATGTTAACATTTGTCCATTATGTTAACCTAGGTTTATGTTAACATTTGTCCATGACATTGTTTTATAACTTGTTCTGAAGGCAACTTGGCTTCCTGGCAGCACAGAGACACACCTCTGAATGGGGCAGAACTACTATGCCCACCATAAGAAGGGCAGTACTGTAAGAAAGGCTTTTATTATCATATTCAGAGTATTTTCATCTATTCATTTAATTTTTCTTACTGTTAGACTGACCTATTTATGCTCCTATCTTGCTTGCTTTGACTGAAGATTTAGCCACATGCCCTACTCTGAAAAAGCCTTTTACAGACGAGTTAATGGCACTTCCAAAAAAATCCCCCCGAGAAGCAGTGACAAGAAAAGAAAATAAATACAACTCCATCTAGTGAAGGCTTCTAAATTCCAAAACAGCTTTTTCCTGGCTTATCCCACTAAAATGTAATTATTTCTTTAATTGAAGCACACACATCTTGATTAATGGACTTTGATTATGCCTGCACTCCCGCTAGGAGCTGGCTGTACGGGGGCAGCCCCGAAGGCACTGCCAGCCCCACAAAGAGCCCCTCTGTGTCCTCGGGGGCGCAGACAGTGTCTCGCACCTGAAGCTGCATGTTTGTCTGGGTGAGCTCTTCTGCTTTCTTTTCCAGTGACATCACCCAGACCTTCCTCTTCTGTCTGCAGCGCGTGGCGGCGGCTCGGTTCCTTTCCAGAAATTTCCGCCTCCTCTCATCCGGGTCTTCGTCCACCACCCTCCTCCGGCGGCCTCCGGTCGGCTGTGGTGGCTGTATCGTCTGTGTGGGCTGCATCTGCTGCGCCGCCGGCGAAACCTGGTGAGAAGAAAAGGTTTAGCACAGGGTGATGGGGGGGGAAGTTACCAAGGGGGATGCTGACACGGGAAGGGAAGTCTCACATGCCCGTCTCGCTGCCCGGCGAGGTCTGCAACACACACAAGTTGAAAGGCTGCGCCAGTTGCCACCGAAATTAGCTGCTGGCAAATCCCTGCCACGGTCAAAGGGGGTAGTTTTTGGAAATGATCCCCTGAATATTAGTAGGGAAAATATTTTTCCCCTTACAGTTAGTTATTGAAAACATTCACTTAGGTACTTTCTCTGCCACCACCTATTTCAAACCTGAAATGTCAAGTTTCTCTCAGCAACTGTTTTAATCAAAGCAGAGGACTGTAGTGGCCTTATTTCTGTCTCTCTTTCTTCCGTAGTTGCCTCCAAAGTTTTAGGACATTTCTATTTCCCAGGCTCCGCTGTCTCTGTCTCGTGGTTTACCGCCTCTGGAGACGGGAGCTTCGGCTCTCTTTGCATGGGAGTGGAGCTGGGAAGCTGTGCGCTGGGATCATGCAAGGCCAGCAGACCTCAGTGTCCCTCAGCTGGGACAAAATAAAGGATTTAGGTATCTGAACTTGAACCTGTGTTTTGGTATCCCTGCACTGCATAGGGAAGGGATATTCTCCTTTTCATTTGACCGCCGTGGATGCTATACTCCTTTTCATTCAGCAGCCTGGCTTTGACAGTAGACAGCCCTACCGGTACAAAACTATAGAAAAATATGTATTGGCACTTTTTCAAGTGCAGGAGCATCAGTCCTGCTCCACAGAGTAACTGGTTGATACCATTACAGAAAAGGTGTGTGGTGGGTGCAGCCCCATGTAGTCTGTGCTCCAACTGCTGGGTGGATAAAACACATGCCTGTGTCCCTCTCAGGAACGAGCAACAGACTTAACATTCAGCTGCCTTGGAATAGCCAGCTTTTGGACTGCTTTCCTGCCTCTCCATGGTGTCCACTGGGGCTTGGAAGCCCGACCCATGGGTCCCATTGCTCATGCCCGATGGGAGCCGCTGCTGCAGCTCACATTGCTTCCGCCGCTCCGGCACAGTCTGGAACAGTCTGGAAACCTGAATTGTTGACTCAAAATTAACCCTCTTGTCCTGGCAAAGGCCCAAACCTCCAAGGTGCTTCCTTTGACTCCAGGGAGTGGACGTACTTAGCGCTTTGTCAGACCGAGGCCTGAATTTCAATTGCGGCAATTAACATGTGTTTGCCTAACACCTCTGTCTGTCTCAATTAAAATGATACTATCGTCTTGCGTCTTGAGAGGTCGCTTTTCTGTCTAGAATCTTGCCACAAACTGTGAAGAAGACTTTGCTTCCTCCCCCAGCTGACTTATGCCAATTAAAGTGGCAATTTTATGTGTAATTATTCTGAGCATCTGATAACACTTTCTGCATGAAGCCGAATGTATTCCCAGCTTTATGCTGCATATGTTGCACAGTCAGGGAATCTCTCACAGGAGCAGAAAAATGTTTTAAGAAAACAACCTTCTAAAAATAAATAAGCCACCCTGCACTTTCTGACTGATTTTTAAAGTTTCATCCTGTATTAACTCCATGTGTTTGCTGGTAAAATCTCCAGCCCCCTGTCCACACCAGGGGTTGGCGTCCCAGGTCTACAGCAGCTGTAGTGGCTGGAGCCACTAGCACCATGTAGGGACCACTGGCTGCATCTCCTGTCCCCACCAGCATCCCAGGGCTGCTGCCTGGAGATCACTGCCAAGGGATGCCAGCTGCTCCCCATCCACCTGGGGCTGAGCACGCTGCCTCTTTAGCCATATGTCTGAGTGCAAAGGCCACAGAGATCCCTTTTAATGTCAACACGTCATCAAAGGCCCTTCATTTTCTCACATACACACACCCCCCTTTCCAGACTTCAGAGATCTGTTATTATGTTTCTGGACACCAAAACCTTTCCTTATCCCATTTCTCTCCTTTTTCATTCAGCTTTTAAAAATTCTTGTTTCTTAACTCTCTCAGTGGGGACTCCTACACAGGCAGAAAAAAGTAACTATACAATTCTTTGGGTTTTTTTCCAGTCATTTTCCCCTGAATAACTGGTGAGTCATTTTGTTTTCAGAATGTACGAGTCAGTCTTTGGGCAGTCAGAGCACATTTTCAGAACAACAAAACTTCCTCTCTATCTCTGGCAGATATTAATTACAAAGGTCGCCATTACATCAATAATAATATCACATGGGATAATTAACTGACTCTTACTAGATAGCTCTTAACCCTGAAATCTGTTAGGCTACGTCTTAGAATCTGTCCTAGCATCATTCTCTAGCAGGATTTTGCTGCCCTGCCTAGGGACAAAAGAGAGAAAATGGACATATACTGAAATTGAAGTTAGTAATTTTTTTAGAAAATACTAACTTCTTCATTATGAAGAATCTCATATCTTTAATGAAGACAAGCATAGGACAGCTAACAGAATGAAACAACATCCCAACTCCTACTCTGCTTAAGCTATCGCTCTGGCAAGTTTGATATGAACAAACGTTCATGGGACCAACCCAGGAATAATTTTTGTAGTAATTGAGGCAACATAGCTACAACTTGGTAAAATACTTCACTTTCTCAGAAAGTGGTTTCTACTTTTATGTTTGATCCAATTTCTCTCTGTTCTTTGCAACTTACCATAAAACTAATACCCATTAACTCATTCAATAAAAGCATAATTCATTGGGCTCCTGTGTATCAAAATGATAGCTGAAAAGCATGAAATGAATTCCGACATTACAGAAGGGTGTGATGTAGAATAATGACAGTCTCGGCATGGGAGCACATGGCTTACAGTAGCGTGGACCATGCTGTCATTTGGCAAGTGGTTTGGAATGAAAGAATCTGGCTCAGAAGAATAAGGAGGTTAATAATTAGTAAATCGCACCATAAAATTAATGTCTGCCAGAGCAATCTGACCCTCAAAGAGGCCATTGCCATGGGGACTATGGATGAGCTTAGAAAGTAATAACCATGTGATTATTACTCAGCAAACCCTTCTTCTCTCCCCACTAACACATCTGTTCAGAGATCGCTGTTGCCTTCACACCATGGGAGCAGACATGCATCAAGAGCTCTGCTGCCCTGGGAAGCCACTGACCCTAGGATTCCTATTCCACCACCTTCCATTCTTGGGTGGAGGAACGGAGGGATGACATACCTATGGATGAGGTTAAGACCTCTTTGATCTCCAGTGGGGCCTGTTGCCTCCAGCAACACTCTGCGTATGGCAAAGCTCATCTGACTGCATGGGCCCAGTGCCAGAGACTGTGTGGTGCTGGGACACAGGGTGAATCTGACATAGCAATGTGGCTGCCAGTCAGCCCACCCACCCCTGTGCCTGTGTCTCTTCTTAAATGCCTGTGAGTTTTTTGGGGTGCCTAGCTAACAAGGAACACAAAGCACAGAAGTCTAGGCTGTCCTAACTGGAAGGAACATAAGACAGACATGGACATGCCTGAGTGGGTCCAGAGAAAGGCCCACTGACCTGATCCCTAAAACTAGGAGATTTTTTTTCCCTCTGGTAACTGTTTTCACCTGTTAAAACTGGTAATATGAATTTTTTGCAACAATGCTCCATACTGTGATATCTTACTCCCTCACCTGCAATACTATGTTTATCCTCCTGATGCCTCAGTGAGGTGTCTGTACTATTACCCTGGCTTTAAAAGGCCCAGAGAGGTTTCTCCATCTCATCCATGGAGTTCTTAGTCTGCTAAGCACAACTTTATCCTGACTCTCTCATGGATCTCAAAGACGGACATCAGGTTACTTTTGGGTTCTCTGTTATGAGATACTGTCTTTTTATTGTTTAAACAACTCCAAGGAAAATAACTCATTAACAGATGAGAAAATAATTGAATTTGCAAAGTAAAAACTGAACTAAACTTAGGAAAGCTCTGGACATCTCACAGGGGAGTCTGCTGCTTTCTTTTCTAGACTGTTTCTCTAAAGCTGACAATTCATTTTTCATTAGCAAATGCTTCAGGGAAATCCCATGTGCTTGCGGCCTCTGCAATAATAAAGCTAGATGTTAGTAAATAGTTAATGTTGTGGGACACTGGGATGTCAACCAAATCCTCTCATTTTCTTTAATATTTTCTAAGAGCTTGGCTGAAAGGTATTTGCAAGCAACACAATACTTCACAGATTAAACTTCTTGTGGCTGGCACTCCTCTTTGTCCTCACTCTATGCACTGCCCACTTCCTTAAATTTTTTCCCCAGACCTGACATGTAACAGTCACTGCCCCCAGGGCTTTACTTTTCTTGTGGGATCCTGATGCAGAAGCCTATCATCTTGAGACATTAATAGAATTTCTCTTAAGAATGACTCTGCTAAGTCTGTGCTTACTAGTTCACTAGTTCAAGAAACATTCCGTTTAGATATTGAATTGTCCAAATTGCTGAAGCCAATATACTTGGTCCAGAAATTGAGACCTTCCATCTCATTCAGTGGAGATCTTCCCTGAGTTCGCATCATCTGAATCCAGTTCAAAATTGCCTTCCTGGTTTAAATCTCTCCTTGGACTGGCTTCACCATCCTTTTCTCCTATCACAATATCCACCAACTATTGCCCACATTATCAGCTAATTTTGTCTTCCTTTCATACTTTGCAGATGATGGCTGCTCTCCCCTTCACAGGGTCTGGGTCCTTTCTTCTTTTCCTCAAAGCCACTGTATCTTACCTTAGAACTACCCCTACTATCTCCAGTCATGAACACATACACACACATGTACCAGTGCCATTTTGCCTCACTATAGATGGTGCTATGTGTTTCTGCAGGTAGAACACATACAGCTCTTCAGATCTTAGCCTGAGAAAATCAGGTTCAAGCACATTAAGCAACATACATAATATGCTAATCTCCACAATAAATCTCATCCATAAAAGGATATGTGGCAATTTGCAGAGCTCAGAGCACTGAAAAACCTTGGAGCTCCTTATAAAGTAAGATATTACAAATGTCTAGCAAATTAAGCAGCAAAACAAGTTGTTGCTTCACTCCATTTTCTGAATAAAGTTTGTGCTTCCCCACCACTGGTAGCAGACATTTATGAGTAGCCTGAGGGGTTTGTATCTAACAAGACGTGTGCATGTAGAAACAACACAGGGATCAGGCTTCAACTCCTCGTAACAGTAAAACTCAGCGATGCAGCATGGCAGGAAGGTCTACCTGTGCTTGTCCACCGGAGTGCAGCGGCGGGTGCGGCGAGGTCTGGTGATGTGCTGGGTGTGCATGAAGGTGCGAGTGAGAGTGGTGGTGGGGATGATTCTGCTGGTGATGAGGCTGAGGATGAGGATGGTGCGCCGGGTGCTGGTGCTGATGCGGGTATGAGTGATGAGGTGGCAGTGTCTGGTGCTGATGAGGATGTGAGTGCATATGATGGTGTGGTGTCTGGTCCTGCCGTGAGCTCATCATTTCCATCATGTGGCCCATGGTGTTCATATTCCCATTCGACATGGCAGCAGGATGATGAGTCAGCGCTGCCTTCAGTCTCTGCAACAGAACAAGGCAGAAAATTCAACATTCATACATGACGATCTAAGCAAATAGAACAGAATTTCTGCTGCTGTAGAAGTGGTGCCTTGTCCTGTGTTTTGAGATTTATTTAGTTTTTTCCTTGCTGTTCCCTTGATAAAAGGCATCTTATTTCACCCTGAGAAAGAACATATTCTGGGGCTTTAATCTAGTTTTCCACTGTAAATATGTAAAGATATAAACATCTCAACTGAAATGTAACAGTTACACATTTCCTACTGTGCTGCTGAGGAAAAATATCTGGCTCTTATCCTTTTCTCTTTGGCCAGCTCACTAGTGTTAGCTTCATCAAGCTTGTATTCTTGCAACTTTAAGTCTGATTAAAATGTAAATGAAACAAAGTTCCCCTCTTGTTTTTACTACAGATATCATTTAAGAGACTCATTGATAAATATATTGCATTGATGTGTTCTTCAAATTCAGGCTCAAATGTATTCTAGCACCCAACCTGTTCTTTCATCAGAAAGACAGGAAAATAATGAGGGTGGCCTCAACCTGATCCTGTTTCTTTCCTGGAAAGTTCAAATGCCTGCTGTGTTGTTACTGCATGCTAATCCCTCCCTCTGTTTGGTACTCCTCGTGTTTTGTACTATCACTGGAGCCCTGATCAGGACAAAACTCTCATCAGTATCAATGGGATTTGTTCACTGTTCCCTGAACACCACCAGAGGGCAATGGGAAGGGCTGCCACATTTAGGACTGCAGGATAGGGCCCTTGTGCACTAAAGCTGTAGCTGGAACATAGAGAGAGAAAAAAAAGTTTCCTTTCAGTGCAGTTACAGAGTCATCCCAAATCTGTGAGCTGTCCTAGTATACAGATACCTCACTGATGTCCACCAGTATCTGAGGGTCACAGATGACAATCAGAAGATCCTACAAGCCAATGTGGCTAAAATCTGCCAATGGAGAAGCAATGACCAGACTGAACTGCATTTTGGCTTTGTCTTTAAAGCAAAGAGAATGACTGCCAGCACACTCAGAATGGGAATGTCAATCTGCTTGATACTGAAATAACATCTGTCTGTATAATTCAACTGCAAGGCCAGTGGTAAAGGTAGAGGCTCCTATGTTCAAAGCTGCTGCCTTATTGTGTTTGCATGCCTGGCAGTAAAGAAGAAATAAATTATTACAAAAACAAACAAAAAAAAAAAAGAAAAAAGAAAAAACCCAACAAACAAATAAAAAACCCCAAACAAAACAAAACAAAAGAAGAAGGTTGTGGGAAGCAAAAAGAAACAACAGGGTCAATTTAAAGTGTATCGTACATGGTTTTACAGACTTCATGAAGATCATTCAACTGAGACACTCTAATAGATCCATTAATCCAAATCTAGTGGCTTATTTCACTAACAATCAATTGGCTGAAAAAGACTTAAAAAAAAGGAAAAAAAAAAAGAAAAGATACGTTTACAAAACATCAGTGCCTCAGTTTGTGTGAAGGCTGATGACTTTGAAAAGGATTCCTTAAGAAAACCTATCAAACCATGACCATTAAAACCTGACGATCTGCTCAAAACAAGATTGAGGCAACTATGGCAGACAGGTTAAATACCTCTTTCCGTACCTCTGAAGTCAGAATAGAACTCAATCCAATATCAATAGCAGTAATCCATCCTGGAAAGATTTCCCATCATGGAAGATTTCAGCAGCTGTTGTCCTTAACGTTTTCAAATTCAAGTGCTACCCTGGTTACTGCAAGCAGCAATTCACAATGCTCAGAATAACTGGTGTTACCCAGGAGTGTATCAGGAAAAATATGGAAAACAACACATGAATAAGTCAAGTCATTCTGCACATCGTTCTTCTTCAAAACTCACTATGACCTTTTTTATGGGGCTGAGCCACCATGCAGATCTAAGCCAAAGCACCAACAAAAGCTGTTGTAACTTTGTTTTCTGAATCAAAATGCAAAAGAACCAAGCTCTCACTAGCCAGCAGTTTTATGCGATGAATACCTAACAAAATCTTCCAATGCTATATTTGTCAGAGACCTCTGAAAGTGAACTACAGCATGTCTTATTCTAAACTGCAGACTTTCAAAGAAAAAAAAAAATAAAAAAAGGAGGGAAAAACTTAATCTGAGAATAAACTTTTTTTTTTTTTTCAGCTGTAAAAGCTGTGGCTTATTAGTGTGGCGCGACTTCAAGGAGAATAAATTGCTTTGTTTTCTCTCCATAGCCCCTTCTACCACATCCATTTATTTGAGATAGCAAATCAAGAGAGACAGTGAGAGGTCTGACATGCAGCTGGTTTCAGTCAATAGGGGTCATTTCCATTTGGACTGTGTATTTTACAAGCTCCTTGTTCACTGTTCCCAATGGGAGGGTGGGCCAGCTGCCCTGGATCCTAGTCCTGGTAAGAAACCAGCCCTCTACCTCATCCTGTCCCATCACAGTAATGGCCATCGCCTGGCCCTTGCCTCCGTTTAATGTCGAGCTTAGATCAGCTCCACAGCAGCGAGAGCCCTGCCTGCGCATGCAGCCAGAGCAGCGTTTATCTTCCATTAACCAGTCGCTCCTGCCCATCAGAAACATTGAGGGAATGATAAACATTTTCTTTCTGTTTGGTCTTCAGCGAGATCAATTGTTTTGGATGTTTTAGTTAGAGCAGAGGGAGGGAAAATCACCAGAACTTGGTGAACTCTTTGCATTGAGTATGAGTAGAACTGGAAGGGCAGGCTGCCTTTTTGTTATTGCTCTTTTTATGTGGTCTAATTGCAAACAGCTGCTTTAGTTTAGTGTCAAATAAAATGCCATGGCATCGAAATTGAGCTTACTGGACTGACTATATTAGCAAATCTCCTTTAGAATGGAATGATAAACTGGGACCTGACCCTGTGTGACTGACTTCACCAGGGCCTGCTGGTACCTGGCAGTTCACAGACTGGGGCTGAAACAGGGTGCTCACTACTCAGGTCTGCTCTCACCAAACCCCAGAATCTTTCCTAACCTCACTGGCAGTGTTTCTTAGGGCATGGTCCCTCTTTCTGTTTTATAATGCCGTTTTCAGAACCTTCCCCACCAACCTCAAGCCGAGAGAAAGTGCAGGTGCTCATCTTACCTGGCTTTTGGCCCTTACTGGTTATTATTGCATTCAAGTAACATAGTGACTAACATCAGTTACAGCTGATTTCGACTTGATCATGACATTTCCATGAATGGTTTCAGTGACACAGACAACATGAGAAATTTTTCATAACGAACAACCTGCTTTGCTTCTCATCAAGTGAATGAAGAAAATTCCCTTTTGATCCTACAGTAGACCAGAAACACATAAACTCTCATCTTTGACGCTTAGGAGGAAATAGAAACAGAGGATATTAGTGCTCCACAGGTAGGAGTGTTGCGTTCCCTGCGCCACTGCCCATGGCAATACCCCTAACTGACATACTCTGAATTAACACCTCTAAGAAGTTATCATTGTACCTGGAACATTGGGGTTTTTTGGAAACAGTTTTCACAGTGCTTCCTCCATCTAAAGCCTGACATGGTGCAGTGAATTGCTTGATGTTTCCTTTTATCAACAGAGATCACAATTTAGTCTCTGAACATCTTTGGGGAAACCCTAAGTCTGCCAAAAATGGGCTACAAGCATTTGGGATGAGTGAAAAACAGTATCAGCTTCCCTAACACCTATGCAGTTCAGGATCTTACTGCTTTCTGAGTTTTGTCTATCATTATACGCATTCAAGGTTGCCACAGGTTTTGCTTCTCCTTTCTTTCTCCCAAATTGCTAGTGAAAACAAGACAGCATATTTTTCAGTTTGTCAGAAGAAGAAGAAAAAAGATAAATTAAATTGTAAATGAAATTGGGAGGTTGCTTTTCCCACAACTAAAAACTCAAATAATTTTGGGGTTTTCATATGTATGGAAATATTTATAATATCTATAGCACGTTAAATTTATAGTGCAACAGGCTGTAAATACTGTATTATATTATGTGCCATGATCTGCATATGACAATAAATTACAACTTTCTCCCATTTATTCCTCAGTGGAGAAATAAAAATATCTCTTCCAATTTTACAGATGTTATTACCTGTGCTTCCATCAAACAATAAGCAATTATTTAATCCATCTGAATTTTAGGTTGGGACAGACATGGAGTGCTGGTTTTGAATACGACTGAATTGTTCTGAATACGTACGCATTGTTGCACTCAGAAAAAACTCTCTTCCCCTTCTGGTCTGCATGTCCAAAGCCTACTAAATTAGAGAAGAGACAAGACCAGCTGTAGTATCAGCTTAATGTCTGGCATATTCTTATCAAGAGATTATATCAGACCCCTGTAGGCAGATGAAATATGATCTCAAAGATATTTTCTTGCACTGTGATTCTAGTCCCTGTTATACAGGGGTGTAGTTAAGTTCTCCCACAGGGGACAGAAGACACCAGAGAGGAGTGGAAAGTCAGAGAAAACCCCCAGACATCAAACATCCCCACACATATGCAATTAGGTAGTAACATCAGGGTAAAAGTCCTGATTAGCCAAACTTCAGGGCAAACACAGCATTCATTTCAGTTGCACTAACATTGTTTTCTCGTCTGCGATGGTCAGGTTTTCTTTTTTACTCATGCTTCTCTAAACATCATAACCAATAGCAGCCTTCCAGTACCTAAAGGGGGCTGACAAGAAAGCTGGAGAAGGAGTTTTACAGGGACATGTAGTGATAGGACAAGGAGTAGTGCCTTTAAACTAAAAAAGGGTAGATTTGGATTAGATATAAGGAAGACATTCTCTACTAGGAGAGAGATGAGATACTGGGAGAGAGATGAGATACTGGAACAGGTTACCTGGAGAAGCTGTAGATGCCCCATCCGTTGAAATGTTCAAGGCCTGGTTGGATGGGGCTTCAAGCAACCTGTTCTAGTGGAAGGTGTCCCTGTCCATGGCAGGGGCTTGGAAGTAGATGGTCTTTAAGGTCCCTTCCAACCCAAACCATTCTATGATCCTATGAT